TCTTAAACAAAAATTCTTTTCAGGATAATAAATAGTGCTCATTAAGAGAACATAATGGGCTTAGGCCTTCCTTGGTTAAGTATCAGCAATCCGAATGACCTCTCACCATATCCATTCACCGATCAGAGTGGGAATCATTCCATCAACAAATCACAAAGAAAGCTTGTGTTTCTGAACATTTGCTACTTGTGCCAAATGTAGATGGATGGATGTAGGGATGGATTGCCAGTTACTTATAATAGATGTGAAATTTGCGCGTGATTACCAATCCCAAACAAAAGGAATTTACACGGTGCCACCACCTTGTACACAACCCAGACCTCCAGGACTTCTCGGCTTGGTCAAGGTGGGATTGGCTGGCTCCCCGCCCACCAGGCCCACCCCTGGTTCAATCTGTGCTGTATGTTTTGAGTATAGCTGACTACTGGTAGCCAACTTGCAGCTATTTTAAATGTTCTAAAAGAACAAAAAAATAACCAGGAACCAGTGAGTCAAGCCAGGATAGATCATTTCCTATCTTCTGTCCTTGGGGAAAGTTATTCAACATCTCTCATCTTGCTTCTTTATATGAAAAATGAAAATGTGGAGTGGCTATAAGGATTCTATTAAATATACATCAAGTGCTCATGCAGAGATGACTTCAATAAATATTTTAACTGTTTTAAAAAATCACTCAGAAAGTCCATTTTTGCTCTGTCAATTGCCTAGCAAACACAACCGATTTTTCTACCAAACAGACTGCCTTTTTTGAGAAAATTGATGGTGCATTTTAATGTCCTAGACCTTTCACTGAAATTGCAAAGATATTCCATCCTGTATCTTAAGGCAATTTGGTGTTTTTATTTTTACTTCTCTGATAAAATGATTTCTGCTACCTGGTCATGTCTAACTTCTCTTAAAAAAAATTCTGATGAAAAACCCAAAAATATCTGCAGAGTAGTTGATAAACTAAAATTCTAATTGCAGTTGATGACTATCTCCCAGGCCCCAGGTAAGATCCCTAAGGGGAAGGATCTTGACTCTCTTTTTCCCAGCTGAATCCCTATTGCCTGGCACAGGATTATCTCCATTATAACAGACCCTTTGGTCACATTTGTGGTGGTTGTATAGTTTCTTAGGGCTGCCATAACACATTACCACAGCTTGGTCACTTAAAACAAGAAATTTATTTTCTCATGATTCTGGAGGCTAGAAGTTCAATGTCAGCTTTATTGAGCCAAAGCCAAGGTATGAGTGGGGCCATGCTCTCTCTGGAGGCTCTAGGGGAGAATCCAATCTCTGCCTCTGTCTGCACATCACCTCTTTTATGTTTATCAAACCTCCCTCTGCCCTTCTAAGAACACTCATGACTGGATTGTGGACATACCCAGATAATCCAGCATAATCTCCCTGTGTCAAGATCCTTACTCACACTTGCAAAGACCTTTCTTTATAAGGCAACACCTAAAGTTCTAGGGATTACACCCTGGTGTCTTTGGGTGGCTGCTATTCAGCCTACTCCTACAGTGGCGTTTGGTGATACACCATCTCAGGGCCGTGAGCATGGAAACAGTGGATTTGGGCGCCACAGACAAAGTAGAGGCCACCCACAGATCAGGAGCCTGGAAACCAAGCCTCCTACTCCTGGCCTCAGCTCTTGCTCCTGCAGTGTGTAGAACAACAGACTTGGAAGAGAACAAAACCGGGTCTTCAGCTCCCCAACGCCCTGTGTACTATTCCCCTCCATCCCCAAATCATTTTTTAAACAGAAAGAAAAAACCATAGTGTCTCAAAGAAAACAAAACCCTAGTCATCTTTAACAGGAAAGTGTTTGCCTTTCTTTACTTTAACAGCAGTTTTGTAATTTCAGTTCATATGAAGACATAGAAGCTAAGACATACAAGCAAGAATATTTATGGTAATGACCAAAAAGATTAGCAATAGTTTCTCCTAAGTGTAAGATACTATTAACTTTAATGCTCCTCAAAGGTCTTTTAGAAGAACTTTACTACCCTGAATTAAAAATTGCTAATAGAGGCTGCCAGAATGAGTGGCCACAAGGAAGGAGGAAGTAAGCAACAGGTAAAAATCCTTCAGTTTCACTAAAAACTACTAAACCACTAACTTTAAAGAGATGCAAATTGATTTTTCTTATAAGCTCTTCTAGGCCTTTTGATAGAATCCCCCAGTAGAATTGAATAATCCAAAAGGGAAGAGACACGATCCAGAGCAGAAGGTTCTAGAGCTGCCCTGCAAGCAAAGCTCACAGGGACTCTCACTGGAACATCTTTTTTACACACACACACACACACACACACGTACGTGCATATGATACGGGGTCTCGCTATGTTGCTGAGGCTGGAGGGCAGTAGCTACTCACAGGTGTGATTATAGTGCACCGTGGCCTTAAACTCCTGGACTTAAGTGATCCCCCTGCCTCAGCCTCCCAAGAAGCTGGGACTACAGGTGGGCACCACTGTACCTGGCTCTTAATGGCACATCTTGACTGCCCCTTGACATTTGTGCACAGGGCCTCTGGGCTCACCTCCTGTAGCATGTCTGTCTTGCCACTGAGTTGGCAGGCATTTCTCTGGGTGAACAAAAGAGAGATGGCAAGAGCTGGTCCCTTACACCACTTCCCATGTGCCTCCCGTATTACTAGGCATGAAAAGATGTTCAGGCCACTCAGTTGCTACCTCCTCCTGGCATTCACAGTAGGCAAGGATAAGGCTTGGATCTCTGGGCACACAGTGTGAAGAACACTTTGCTCCAACATATTCTAGATGCTCAGTTACTTGATAGTGATTAAAAACCAGTTCTGTCTTGGGGAATTATATTTGGTTTTGCCAAGTTCTCAAAAACACCATCTTTAGTCTCTAAGTAAGTCTCACCTACCCCAGGAAAAAAAAAAAGATTTACCATGTAGCTTAGTAGTTTCCAGACTTGTATTCATATTAGAATTAGGAAGATGGAGATGAGAAGATCTTTTAAACATTCCAGGCCTCACCCCAGACCAATTTAATCACCATCTCTGGTGGTGACAGAGATAACAGTAGTTCTTGAAGCACAGATGTGTCTAATAAGCAGACCAGGCTCGAACCACTGCCTTATTACCATACTACAGTGGGACTATTCATGATGCTGTTCCCTGAGTACTTTTTGATCCCTAAAATGAAGTTAACATTAGACTTATTCAGCCACTTCCTTCTGAATGTGACCTCTTAATTCTAAAGCAACAACTTGGCAGAATACCAAGGACCCCCAGGAGGGTGTCAGTATATTTGTTCATTAAACAGTGTGACAAAAGCGCAACTTCCTTTTGTCTGTACACCCCTATCCCGTGTGATGCAGCTATCATCCCATGTCTGTCTTCAGGGCCAAGGCAATAGGCAAATGCTCTTACAAACCATTAAACCATAGGTAGAAATATTACCCATGCTATTTAGGACCATAGAAATGCATATTAATACCCTACATCTCCTTTTCATTAAGGTGGTTAAATAAACTCAATTGTCTATAATACAGAGACCTAACTCTTACAGTCCCAGGCTATCCTGGGGTGTTCACATCCATCATGTATTATTTGACAAATGTCTGCCCGAAAGAGCCCCCTGTCTCTCAATCAGTAAGGATGGAATAGAGGTTGGGACACAGTCACAGAGCCCTATGCATTAAATATATTTACCTTTGGCTTTTTAGGCAATCCTACTGTGTATTGTCTATAAATCATGTATGCCCAGATTTAGGAAAGCAGAATCACAGAGGTTTTGAAAATGAGGCAAAGATGGAACTAGTGATATGACGATCATTCAACCCCACCCCACAATACCTACCGCAATGGTTTACCTTTTCCTGTTTTTGGAGACAGAGGTTCTTCATGAGGAACCATGTGACCACATGACCTGAGGGGCTTCTGTGGAAGTCTTGGGCACTACCTGGGCCTCCTCAGCAGTGCTCACAGCAGCTCCCCTCTGATCTCAGCTCTTGATGACCTGTACTGGGGAACCAAGTACCGTCATGTGCTACATAATGACATTTTGGTCAATGACGGACTACATAAACAACAGTAGTCCCATAAGATTATAATGGAGCTAAAAAATTCCTATTGCCTAGTGACATTGTAGCTGACATAACATTTCAGTGCACTGTATTACTCAACGTGGTTATGGTGATGGTGTAAAAAAAACTGTGCTGTTATTTGTATAAAAGTATACCTTAATGTCCTAGGCCTTCATATTCATTCACCACTCGACTCACCCAGAGCAACTTACCAAAAATGATATACAGGTGTACCATTTTTATCTTTTATACTGTGTTTTGACTGCACCTTTTCTATGTTGAGATACACAAATATTAATACTTACCATTGTGTTACAATTACATAGAGTACTTAGTACAGTAACATGCCATATGGGTTTGTAGCTTAGGAGCAGTAAGTTATACCACACAGCAGTTGTGCAGTAGGCTATGACCCCTGGGTTTGTGTAAGTACACGCTATGATGTTTGCACAACAATGAAATCACCTAACAGTGCATTTCTCAGAATGTATTCCCACTGTTAAGTGATGCATGACTGTACTAAATATGCAATCTAAGATTCTCTGGAGACAAAGCTTTAAATTTCCATTTTGTTTTGGTGACTTAGCAAATTCTTTGAGAAAACTGATTTTTACTTAAGAGGCAAGTGAGCTGCAGAATAATTCAGATTTGTAAAATGCTACTCTAATTTTTGCTTCAGCATCACAATGGAGCAAAACCAACCACATGGATAAGGTGATCTACATTAGGTTAACTATGTTAACCATTAGGTTAACTCTTGTCCTGAAAGAAGGACTTATACCCAATTAAATCAGGAATATCAGAGAGCACATTGCTGATGCTACTCTATTAACAAAACCCAAAAGGCCTGAAGGCCTTTCCAAGCAAGGGTGTTTCTGATGAAACGGAGGAGAAGTTTCAATTCCAGAGGAGGCAAGCCTGTGAAGCCACAGCCCTATATGCCAGGGAATAAAAGTTTCTCATTATGGCATTAAACTCTATTTATTTAGTATTTGAAACATGGTGTACATTTACGTATTTGTATAAACATTTAGTACATCTAAAATCCACAACTGGTAAACAATCTGTGCTTTCTTTTGTGTACAAGTTTGGAGTTTACATCCAGATATTTTGGTGTTGTGGAGAACCAGTCTGTGAATCTAATCAAATTGCCTCATATTACCATAATAACTGTGACAGAAGTGATTTGCTCCTTGGAGGGGCTGTTCCTTGCCCAGAAAAGGTGTCACACTTTGGAACAAATAAACCAGGTATCAAGGAATCAAGAGGAACACAGCTGACACGATGGAGAAATTATGTGCAGGACACTCCTGGGGATCCAAGTCAATGCGTAGCGGGCACCACAAGCCATGTGGTGACACCTACAATCGAGCACTCCCTTTCTGAAGCATCACATGTTACAGTCAGGTCTCCCTCACTCCCACGGGAGGAGTTCTGTCCAGCAAGAGCTTGCCCTCTGCTCAGCACATTTCTTGGGGTGCCCCACAAGTGTCAGAGCTGCAACTCCGATGTGCCGACCAAGCCCAGGGCTCTGGCTTCTTCTGGAGTCAGGCCGCTCTTCAGGGTCCTTCGCACTGCAGCAGCACCCGCAGATCACACCCAGGGGGAGGAGAAGAGAAGGAGGTATTAGCAGCGAGGCTTAGGGCAGTCGGTACACCAGTTCCTGCTGATGCAACCTGCCTGCCTGCCTGCCTGCCTGCTAGGGTGCAAAAATCTTGGGGTTACAATAAGCTGACCTGAAGATATCATGGGCACTGAGCTTGAGAGCTGAGAAGAGTTGGGGGAACTTGTAAAGAGGGGGAGAAGGGAGGAGAGGCTCGCCCTCACTGGGTTTCCAAGAAATGGGTGCAAACCACAGCAGTGCAGATGGCATGCTAAGACCTCAGCATCTGCCCAACACAGAACATATCAGAGCTGGAGAAGAAATCCCAGAGCACTGGAAAATGTGAGTTCCAGTGATATAAATTGGGAAAGATAATAACTAGTGCATAATCAAAGGGCCTCCAGAGCCAGTACTGAAATAACCAGTGACTCCTTGCGGAATGCATGCCAAGGAGCAAGCTGCCAAACAACTTCTGGGTGAATATGGTAGGTGTTTTGTATGAAACATGCAAGGCTCAAGAAGGGCCAGTGACCACCTTCATTGGGGATTATGACTGAAAATTGGTAGGATGCTCATATTTAACTGACTTAGAATCGGCTGGTGTTTAGCTTGACATCATGGTTTTGCCCATTGGTTGATGTTGATCAATTTCAACATCAAAGGCTGACTAAATTACATTTTCCTTAGTTTACAAATTGCATTTGGTCTACCGTGTATTCTTTAAAGGTCATACAAATTTGGGGGAGTATTTATTCTATTTTTTTAGAAAAGGCATATTATCAATCTTGCCTAAATCCCAAATCAGCCAAAGTCCCTGAGATGATCAAGGTAGGCTGTTGATCAAAGTCTGGACAAAGTTAAGCTCACATTAGTGTCTTCTTGTTTCCCTTGCCAGACCTGGCTCCCCTCATCTCTTCCCCGCAGGCCAGGGCCCCACCTTATGGGTCTGCAGGCAATACCCCATAGTCTGTGCCTCCCCACCGTCCCCTGAACAGAAGCTCACTTAGCCTGAGGACAAAAGAGCTGAACGTCCCATGGCCATGGTAGAAGGAACAGAGGCTAATATCTATTAATAAATGGTTTTTTCTCTCCCAGGAATCAGCACTTTGAAAAGGGGCCAAAATCTAATCCATCAATCGGTCAATCAACAAATAATTTATGGAGAACCTACTGTGTGCTCAGGATTTAACTCAAGGAATCAAAACTCTTAAGGGAAACTCACAGGCATTAAGTATGGATTTTTCAAAAGACACAAGGTTGTGTGGTGAGGGGTACCCTCAAATCATACCACCCCACACAACTGCACTTCCAAGCCTAGCTTTGGGCCCCAGAGCCATCCATACACAGCTGCTCTTGTGCTAGCTCACCCTCCCCCGACCCCTTGGACGCCAGACCAAGTGTCTAACTTGACTAGACAAAATGTTTGTCTCCAGAGTCTTGGCTGGAGGCAGATTACATTTAACTGAGTCATGGAATTCATTCTATGGGGCAACAGTAAAAATACTAGTTTATAATAACCTTTATAAGTTCTTTAAACACATCTTAAAGTGTTTGTTAAAGAAAGATAACAATTTTAACAGCAGAAAATAAGATAAAATCTCTTCTCTCTTGAGCAAAGAAGACCCCTTGCTGAGACCTCTTAAGCAAGATACAAAATACTGCCTGAAGAAGTCCACGCTACACTAGCTGGGCATCTTAAATTTCATTAGCTGCAGAAGCAAGCATGGACATGAGTCTATGAACCACAATCTTTGTGCATTTACGTATATTTCTTGGCTGAGTAACTATAGAGGACCTCACAGATTGGTGGGCATTTTACCCAAGAAGGTACTTAAAGATGTTTCTTTAACACTTCTGTTCACACATTTGCCTTAGTCTGTAATGGTTGTGTTTGGTTCATATGAATACTTTAATAAGGACCCTAACACTTTATAGCACACGTAATAACCTCCTAATAGCTATGGGCATTGGGCCAGCCTATCTGGGACAGGGTCAGAAAATAGAGCAAAGCTAAATTGTACTGCATCAACCTTGCCCCCTGACAGCAAAGAGGCTGTGCCCTCTCCCTCCGGGGCCTACTCAGTTTTGATGCTCCAAGCCACTTAGGACCCTCACCAACCCTTCCCCTTCCTCACCCACCTTCCCTTCCTCACCCCTCCATTTTAGGCACATGTGTCCTTGGTATGGGAAAGAGCCAATATAGGCTTAGTTCCCTTTGCTTGGCTCATGTGTCCCTCAAAATTAGAGTATTCATAGAAACATCTCCCCCATTTATGGAATCCTACTTTCTGTGGACCTTCATAACCATTCAGCTACATTCACTTAGAAATGTATTAACCCCTTAGCGTAATGAAAAAGACCTTGAGAATCTGAACCCTCAATTCACTTTACTGCTTGAAGGAACATGTGAAATGACAGCAGTCTGCTGAAATCAGTTTCACACTCTGATTCAAGTAATGCACAGAAAGGGCCCCTGTGGGTGTCCCTTCATCCATCCGTCTGCTCACCAGTTCATTTGTCATTTAGCAGATGTCACCTGAACATCGACCCTGAGGCAAGTGCTGCAATTAGAGCCTCTGGGTCATGGTGGCAGGGACACAGTGCGAGGAGAAACGCTCAGGGCAGCAGACCAGGACCAGACAGGGAGCTGGCTCTCACTCAGAGGGTTTCCAAAAAACAAAAAAGGGCTGGGAACATAGAAGAACAAGGGGACCAGCAAACGGGGCTGGCGGGATATAGAAGTGTACACAGACAACTTGTACGGTAGAAACACATCTCCCACCAAATGGAGGGACTTCTCCAGTCCAAATGGGGTGAGGTGGGGCTCACGGTCTGGTAAGATCACACCTGCCCTCTCCACTCCCCGTTCCTGCGTCCCGCGTGAACCCTCTGGCTTAATGGAAGCTGCTCTCCAGCCTTTCACAGACTGGAAACATTTGTCCCCACCTGCCTCGCAGCTCTGCCACAGACAGTGAGGGCCAACTGATGGCGCCAGCAGCCGCTCTGTGCCCAGGCACTGGTGACAGCTCCCACGATGCTGAAGTGACAGCAGAGGGATCTGACACAGGGCACCTCTACTGTCAACATGCAGCACAGGAGTGTCCAAGAACTCGAGGAAAAACTACAAGTTCTTTCTCTTCTTTTTCTCACTAGAAATGAAAAAAAAAGTCTTAATCCTATAAAGTACTCTTTGTTAAGATGAGTTGAATCTAAGAACAATGGCAATGGCGGCTGCCATTTACTGAGTGTCTCCATGGATCGTTTCCTTTAATCTTAACAGAAGCTCTATCGGGGAGACAACAACAAGCTCTGCTATGAGCAAAGGGCAGCACAGAGAGATCAAGTCACTGGTGCAAGGACACACAGTAAGTGGTAGAGAAGGATTTCAGCCAGGATGTTGGATCACAGCCCATGCTGATAACAATAGCATCCTCCTGCTACCTGGCAGAACATTTATTTTTCTTTTAAGAGACAAGGTCTCGCTCTGTCACCCAGGCTAGAGTGCAATGGTGCAGTCAGTCACAGCTCACTGCAGCCTCAAACTCCCGGGCTCAAGGGATCCTCCTCCCTCATCTTCCTGAGTAGCTAGGATTATAGGTGCATGCCACCATGCCCAGCTAATTTTAAAAAAATTTTTAGAGAAGGGGTCTCACTATGGTTGCCCAGACTGGTCTTGAACTCCTGGACTTTAGTGACCGTCTCACCTACGCCTCCCAAAGTGCTGGTGTTACAGGCTTGCCAGGACATTTTCTGATAGTCTTTCACATCAGTAGGAAATTGACCAAGCTTTACTTCCACGTGCCAGAAATCCATTTCTGTTCTTTCACCTTTGGATCACTGCTATAGGTTTTTTTTTCCTTTTTTTGCACATAATATCAAACATGATTTGAAAATATGTTTTTTGATGTTTTTTTAAATCCCTAAGATTCTGAAGATTTTCTGTTTCCTACCAGATATAATAAGAGCAGTGTGTCTAGGATTAAACTAGCGTCGAACTTCAAGATGCCTTAAATGTCCGTGTCTTGGTTAGGTCGTCACCAGCCCTGCTGCTGTCCGACACTGCCCATTTGGCCTCTCCACTTTTCCAAAGTGTCAAGGTCATGAAATGTCCCCCACAGATCAGAGGAGACTAAGGAGACGCGACAGCCAAATGCAATGTGGTTTCCTGGGTAGGACCATGAAGCCAAGAGAGGACTGTGGTGGAAACACTGGTGAAATCTGAATAAAGCCTACAGCTTAGTTAATGGTACTAAAGTTATTAATAATTTCTTAGTTTTGATCAATGGTCCTGTGGTTACACAAGGTAGTAATATTAGGGGAAGCTGGGGGAAGGATACAAGGCAACTCTCTGCACTATTTTTTATAACTCTTCTGTATGTCTAAAATTCTTTCAACATAAAAAGTTAAAACAATAAAACCTGGGACAATGATAAAAAAGAAGAGGCTCCCAAACCTGGTGGACTTAAACTCAACTTCTGGGTCTTCCCCCAGATACACTGAACAAGAGTCTGTGCAAGAGGCCCACACACTGCATAGTAACCTTCCCCAGGGGATCAGATGGCCAGCCAGTGACTTAAATCACTGCCATCTGAGACACAGGGAAAGGCAGGGCCCTCAGAAAGTGACAACTTTTGTGGTGACAGGGTTGAAGTCTCCAAGTTCTGCCTAACAAAAATCGAAGTGCACGAAATGAAGTGCAAAATGCACAAAATTAAGTGCAAAATGAAGTGCGCTCACACAGACGGCTCTCAAACATGCTCACGGCATCGGGCACTTTCTATACACTGGTCTGGCTATGGTGTCCTTGGCTTTGCAGACGCCCTACAACACTTTGCCTCCTATGACTGAGGCTGCATTAGCATCCAGAGCTCCTTAAACCTCTCTCTCTGGTTCCCAGGTACGAACTGAACAGAGAGCAGTTAAAATGCAAAAGCTGACCACCTCCTGCGAGTTACATCATGGGTGAGCAAAGGGAGAGCATGGAGTTTGGCCAGGAAGGAAGCAGAAGTTCTATCCATTGTTTGCTGGGAAAGCCTCCCTAAACTGAAGGAAGTTTACAGATAAGAAGGAAGAGTGGCTCAGAAAGCCACAGATTTAGAGCTTTTAGCAGTATTTCAAGTTGTAAGTAGGACAAAACTGCCTTCCTCCTTTGCAGATTAAATCTAGCTCATCGGTTCTCTGTCTGGGGTGTCACAACAATACTACCAAGTGCCGTGCTGACAACGCAGCCTTCGCATGCACAGGAGCCAGCATCCTGGGGATAAAAAGAGGTGGAGACAGGCCTGGTCTACTTATTGCAGCAGGCAGACAAGGGTAGACAATGGGGCAGGGGAAGGCTGTGACGGTAGCAGAGTGACAATTGGGTAGGGCATGCAAGGCAGCCCCTAAGCACCTGCAGGCAGCTGCAAACTTCTAACAGCAGCAGGACAGAACCTGGGAGGAAGAGAGAGTGTGGGAACCTGTCATAGGTGCCTCACTTAACCCCACAACCACCCTGGATGTGCTCATTCCTGAGCATGGAAATAGATTCCTTTTGAACTTGGCAGCAAAGACAATGAAATACTGCAACACTGGTTGGCAAGGTGCTTGGCGCTTTCCTGAGCACTATCTGGGGAACACTCCGATCACCCTAAGAACAGCTATTAGAGTGAGGAAGGACAGATTCTTGGATTCCTCTTTTTACTGATCCTCCCTCCTTTTGAACCTCTACTCTGGGCCAAATGGGGGCCTGGCACTCAAACAGATGTGGCAGGGGACATAAAAGCCAGCCTCCTCTTTCAACGTGCCAGTTTCCTCTGCTTTGGAGGGTGATTTGTCAGAAAAGGAAACAACCAGAGAACCACTCAATGCAGCGAAACACTTCACAACTCTTCCCACATCCATTCCCTAACTTGGAGGCTTCCACCTACGCCCTGACTTTCTGACTTTTTATCATTTCAGTGTCCTCTGGAGTGAGGGATGTCCCCCAGGATGCAGTGACTCCCCACTGGGTTTAGGGAAGAGACCTTCGGTTCTCTCTTGGGCTTGTTGTATTTACTCTTCTGTCCTGGGTCCTGAGTCCGTGGGTGGCACCCTCAGCTTTTATCTTTATAGGAAGGTCAGTCCATCTTTAATGAGCTCTAAGAATCATTAGGTGCCCACTGGAGAGCCGTGGCTAGAATCCGGGGGACCACATGAGGTGAGTTGGGTCAACCATCGCACAGGCTAGAAATCACCTGGACCATTTGAAACATTTTACATTATGAGCCTCTGATTGGCACCAGCTGGAAAAGCAGCAGACCTGAACCATGGGAACCTGTCAATCCATTCAGATGCCCTTGGCATGTCGCAACTGACGGCACAGTCCGGGCTCTAGCAGGACACTGAGGCATGCACAGGCCCAGTCACCAGCGTCATACGGGAAAGCAGACACCTAATGATCTCACAGGATCCTCAAGTGCCTTGGCTTGCAGGCCGTGAATTTCAAGCTTATGGGATGGATTGTTTAGTTTCCTGCAATAGCTGGACTATTACTGTCTTTAGCCAAATGAGTTATGGCCCAAATATGTTGGTTATTCATTACCCACTGGCCTCAGTGCCACCACTAAACACTCAAATCAAATACAGCACAGTTCCAGGGTGAGGCCCAAACCGCTACACCTCACATCGATTTTGCAAATTGCTTTTTCTCATTCCTTTAACCTCCTGTGAAAAGCTGCAGTTTGTCATCCTTTTATAATAGAAATCAGTGTCTAACTTCCCCCTTCTTAAATTTCTGTTGATAGTACCGTTACTAATAAATTAAACCCATTACAGAAAAGCATATACATGCTGTGCTCTATTGGTTATAGTAACTATGTCACCGGGAAAAATGTGTTTGGCTAAATAAAAAGAATATATGGCTGTTTTGCATAAAATTGAAATGGAAACAATACCACAGGAAATTATCTTATGTCAACCACAAAAACAGGCAAAATATCTCTCCAGCCAGATTGAAGAGGAAAATTAATTACGACTGTGTTATTGTTCCGAGGGACATTATGTGTCTCTCTAGGAATCTGGTCCTCTCTAGACCAGAGGGTACAGCCAATGCAGACATGTAACCTATAGAAAAAGCACATATAGCCTGGGCCTCCAGGGACCGGCCAAGGCCAATGTCCCATGTAGTCTCCTTCTCTGAGGTAGATTTTTTTAAAATAGGTTAGGTAGATTTTTAAATCTACCTAATAGATTAGGTAGATTTTAAATAGATTAGTATTTTTTAAAGTATTCAAAAAGTATATTTTAAATATACTTTTAAATTTAAAGTATTAAAAAGTAATATTTCTATTTAAAAAGTATATTTCTTATCATGAAACGACATGGACAAATCACAGATGAAAGAGCAGCAATGGCAATAGGTTCTACCTCTCTAGAGTGGAGGGAAATGTCGATTAAAACCGCAAGGAAATGCTATTCCAGACCCTTCAGAGACGAACAAATGGAAGGGCTGCCTCAGCCTGGAGCAGCTGAGATTCGGCACACGGTGTGAGGGTGGACTAGCCTCGCCCCTTTGGAGAAGACTTTGTCACAGAACTGGCAATTCCACTCCTGGTTTCGTGCCCCAGGGCTGACCACCTTATCGTGAGGAAGAATCACTGGGGATCTCACCCTGCGACAGGGCCCAGGAATCAGCATTTCTAACAAACCTATCGTCTGAGGTCCAACTTTGAGGAGCAAGTCCCTAGCCAAGCTCTTTCGCAGGTGCACCAGGGGATAGGAAAGAATTCACAGCAGGACAGAGAAATCACAAAATATCAGAAGAAATAAATGTAAAGATGTTAGATATTGATGTTGGAACCCACAAACATATTCCTGAGGATATAAAAGGCCAGTCTCCCTAAATGACAGTTTTCCATTTAAAAAATGGGGGGCACATGGGACAGGGCCCACAGCAGAGGGAAAGCCTCCCTCCTACTGCCTCTAAGCCCATCTAATCCTCCACTGGCAGGGGCAGGGACCCAGACCCCAGGGCCTCACCCCTGAAGCCCTGAAGGAGTTGGCCTGGGTGCAGCCGAGACATCTGGAATTTAAAAATCTCTGCAGAACATCCTAATGTCCAGCCAGGGTTGAGAACCACAGCTCAAGAGCCTTGTTACTCAAAGTGTGTACCAAGAGCCAACAGCATCAACTTTATCTAGGAGCTTGTCCAAGGCCACCCATCTTACTGAATGAGAACCACATTCTCCCCTCCCTGTACCCCACCCAGGGTTATTTTCCCTTCCGGGGTAAAAAAATCCTATCAGAAACTACAGCAGATCATATAAAAGGGACAGGGTCTGAAAGGCTGCAGGAATCTGTTAGAGTGATCGTTACCCTGGAAACAAGCATGTCCATGGGCCCAGCAGAACCGCTGCATCCAACCTACACAGACCACCCCATCACCTCCTGTGTGAATCTCAACAGTGGAACAACTCTGAGTTTGAATTTTGCTGAACTCCCTGCCTACCTGGAGCCACTTCCCTTTCACTTTTCGGAGACAGAACAGGGGAAGGCCACCAGGCTCCCTTTCCTTGTCACCATCTCCTATTCTAGGAGGCAAAGCCACTGGAGACACAAGGTGTCTCTAGAGTGACCTGGCAATGGGCTGAAGCTTGGGGGCTCAGCTCTCTTCTGAACCACCCAAGTCCACAGCCAACACAGGCAAGACGTCAAAGGACACACAGGATCCTGTTTCTCTAGGACAGCAGTTCCTGGGAGAGTCGGAGCAGTGCCACCCACAGAGGCGACTCCACGCCCCTGAGCTCAGTGGGCAGGAGCAGGCTGGAGGCTCAGACCAAAAGGGAAATCATTCACTTTGAGAGATGAATTTGCTATTTGGCCAACAAATGCTAACAACAAATATTTTAAGTATCCTAGCGACCATCAAATCACCTGCCACCTCTGGTTTTCACCTTCAACATGCTGTGGGCAGTGGCGAACCCCAGGGGGAACCAGTCTCCCGCTCAGCAAGCCTCCCCTGATGCTGGAGGAAGGGCAGAAATACGGCCTCCAGCAAAGCACCTGGGCCAGTCCTCGGCAATGGGCCCCACTTGTGCCCACCCCTACACAACAGAGACATTTAAGGGCCTTTCACACCTCTCCAGGTACAGAGTGTGATTCGAGATACCCTGGACAGGTGTGGCTGCAGCTCACCTCCTCCACAACGACCAGCATTGACAGTCAACCATCTGTTGACAAAGTGCAGGTGGGCACTCGAGGCAGCCACTGACACCAGAGCTGGCCTCTGAGTCCCTACCTTTCCTGGGTCATAGAGAACAGAGGGGCAGATCCCTGCAGGTGAGTCCCTCGCCTCTCCTTAAATGCACTCACGAGATTTCCGGTTGGCCCGGGATCGCTTCCTCTCCCTCGGCACCACTCGCTGACTGGGCACTTGGGTGGCCGACTTGACGATGCGGTCCATGATCTCATCGGCTGCATCGTCGGTGACGTTAGGTGAGTCATCGGTTCCCATAGTCCAGGAACCAGTGGATCCTGAAAAATCAAACCGCCAGAGAGTGCAACATACACAGAGAGAAGCAAACCCAGAAGAAAACACACCGCACTGCTCCTCCAAGCAGCTGAGTTCCGTCGGCAAAGGATCATCGCAGTGAAGGTGGGAATAGGAGCCTCAGAGTTAGTGACGGATCCAGAGCACTAACGGGTCCCCACTGCAGGGGGCACCACTATAACCTGCAACCACTCCCCTCCAGGCTCTGAACAAACCCACACTTGGGGCACTTACTTTGTACCACCCCATAACACAGCCATGCTCTTGTCTCTCATAAGCTAACTCTCTACTCCTTGGTGTGCTGTCTTCACCTGCCTCGTCCCGTGGTCACCTGAGGGCAGCTGACATATGCCACACCCTGCACCCATCACTGATGTCCACCAATGCACATCCAGTAGTGCAGAGAGACTGTCGAAGGTTCTACTGAGTCAGCTTTCTATTGGAGGATGCAAGTGCCTAGTGAATGTCAACTATCCCTGACTTCTCATTCGGTTAGGTAGAAACCAATGGATTTTGTAACACACAGTTTGTCTTTGGATTCCCTAGTCTTTAAAAATGGCAACAGGATTGCCCTCTTGAACCAGCAAAGGGGATATCAACATAAATTTTTCTTTGATACATTCACCAACTCCTTGACCAGAAAAGTGTGTTTATAAATAACTACATGTTAAGACAGTCCAAGTCTGGCATAAAAGTATCTCCCTACAGACAAACAAGAAGAAAGTGCCACCAAAACATGGGTTCCAAGTAATGTTAAACAGTCAGAGATTAATGCTAATATATCCAAAACTACAGTATGCCTCTGTAGCAGATCAACTTCCTTGTGAACTCTCTTCTATAAGATGGTGAATGTTTCCACTAGAGGAAAGATGTACTATGTGCTCAAACTCGTTAATTTCCACTACCTACACTTCATTTTGTAATAAATGTACAACTTCAAAAACACTTCTCAAAATCACTGCCCATGTACCACAGGCACTCCAGCCTGACCAAGGTCCAGCTTACACTGAGGAATAGCCAGCTTCTCCCAATTCAGAGGAAAAAAAATGTTAATAAGCATTTTAAATTTTTGAGTTCTTCTCCCATACTAACTTTTTTAAAGTTTTGTTGCTTGCAAACCACCTGGTTGGTAATAAATGAACAAAGAAAAAAAATAGGGATGTCAGTGGTTGGGAACAGTGGATCACAGTTCAGTAGACTGATTTTCATAAACACACATGTGTGTGCTTGAAATGTCACTGCAAATACGTAATATGCTATAATATAGTCATAATTCCTGCTAGTAAAATTCACACGACTGAATACAATGCATAAATAATTCACACTTTGCCAAAGGAGTCCAGGTGCTCCATCACCCGCGTGTATGAGAGAACTGTGGCTACAGGACAACGATGTTTGCAAATGACATGTTTTATTGTTGTTGACATAGTTTTGAAAATTTGTTTTGCTTAGTTTTTGTTTTTTTTTTAAACTGGCACATGCAAGAATAGTAAATTGTACTTTCTCTGCTTGCACCCAAGGGAATTTGATCTACTTGCTCCCATCAGAAGACCAGTTTTTCACCATTCTAATAAACCCTTAAAAAGTAGGCTCTTCTCAGAAAGGAATTTTCAAAATCACTGCTAAACCTTTCTACATCCTCAGGATGGTCTAGGTGTTCCAATGGGAGGTAAAAGGCTGCATGACACCACAGCTTTCAGACTGGGACTCTGCAGTGCCCCTAAACAATGGCCCTATAGTGTGATTCAATTGCATTTTACCCAGAGATTTCCTATTTTCCCTTTTACCAACTGATTTATAATTCTGTGTCTGATCTTGAAATGTCAAACTACTCTTCTAAAAACATGCAAAGCTCAAGCAATTGTATTTGCCCCTAATACATTTTCAGAGCAGTGGGCCAGAAAGGCAGGCATCATCTAATCTTCCGAGAATTACCTACACTTTCCCATCTCACACGTTCCCAGGGATCTGCTGTCCAGGTAACGTGGCAGGAGATGCTTAAAAGGAACATCCTGCCACAGGTTCAAGACTGTCAAACTCCATTTTGTGAGGACTTCATTCCCTGACAGCCTCACTCCTCAGTCTATTTTTTATCCCCTCTCCGCTTTGTTACTCTGTTCATGGCCATTTATTTCCATTCTTCCTGGTCACGTATATGCTCCTCTTTCTGGAACCCCTGAGTCCACACACAGCTGTCAGGAGAATGCTGCACGCACATTTGACATACCCAAGGGGCCATGTGACTCATCCAAATCTCCCAAGTGTTTTGAGATGTGGTGGAGGGGAAAAAGCATTCTAAGACCAAAATTGAACAAAATCACTTTTACTTCATTTCTTAAAATATGGAAATTATAGTTTGAAAAAAACAACACTGTAATTTATTTTTTTTCTCTTCCTTAACATAAGGAAATAATCTACAAGGAAAATACTTATATCAACATAGATATTCTACTGTTTTAATGCAAAAAAAAAAATTGCCTTCATTTCTGAAAGATAATTTCCCTAGGGATAGACTTCTAGGTTAGAAGCATTTTCCTTTGGCAGTTTAAAGATGTAATTCCATGATTTTCTGGTTTCCATACTTCCTGTTGAAAAGTGAGTCATCATCCTTACTGTTTTTCCTTAGAAGGTAATGTATCTTTTGTGTCTTGAAGATTTTATCTTTATCTTTGGTTTGCCTATGGTATGTTTTCTCTGTATTTATTGTGCTTGGATTTGCAAAGTTTCTTAAATACGTGGGTTGACACCTATCATCAGTTTTGGGAAATTCTCAGCCATTACTTCTTCAAATATTACTTATTATCCCTTTTTATGGTACTCCAATGACACATATCTTAGATTTGACTGTGTATAACATTCCTCTCGCATTTTCTTCTCACCGTGCTTCTGTTTGTACATTTTCTATTAAACCCAATCACTAATCCTCTCTTTTGCTGGGATCAATGGCTATTAAATCTATGCAATGAGTTCTTTATTTCAAATATTTTGTCATTTTTAGAATGGCCATTTGATTCATTTTTATAGATTCTGATTCTTTATTGAAATTATCTACCTTTTAATCCATTTGTCTATGTTTTCCTTTAGTTTTTATTTTTTCAGACAGAGTCTCACTCTGTTGCCCTAGCTAGAGTGCCGTGGCATCAGCCTAGCTCACAGCGACCTCAAACTCCTGGGCTCAAGTGATCCTCCTGCCTCAGCCTCCCAAGTAGCTGGGACTACAGGCATGCGCCACCATGCCCGGCTAATTTTTCCTATATATTTTTAGTTGTCCAGCTAATTTCTTTCTATTTTTAGTAGAGATGGGGTCTCGCTCTTGCTCAGGCTGGTCTCGAACTCCTGAGCTCAAACAATCGGCTCGCCTCGGCCTCCCAGAGTGCTAGGATTATAGGCATGAGCCACCTCGCCTGGCTGGCCCTTTAGTTTTTATTTTTGACATTTGTAATGATCAAGTCCCTGACTGTACATTTCAACATCTAGAATGCTTATGAGTCTGCTGCTCTTTGTCTACTTTTCCTCTGAATTGTCAGTCATATTTTCACGTTCTTCTCTTGGCTCATAATTTTAACCATGCACTGGACTTTGTGTGTAAAAGAAAGACTGAAGTCACTGTCATTCTGCTCCAGAGAGTCTCCCTTTCCTCTGTGCGTAGCTGTGGTGAGGGACTCAGTCTGGGTGAGGCCAGATGGCAGTTTTAGTTGAGGATCAGCCCACTTGACTTTCTAAATGTCCTGAGGCTAACGTCCCAGAGTATTTGTGGAAGGTGCTTACTCTAGCTTGTCTTTGTTCCTTGACTTTGTTCAAGACTGCAGGTTTCCTCTGGCCTTTCTGGACTAGTAGCACTGTCTGATTGCACTCCTCCCCCCCCTCCCCCTCCCCCTCCCTCTTCCCCTCCTGCTCCCTGCTCCCTTTCCCCTTCCCCCTCCCCGGGGCTGCACTTAGCAAAGGTCTCATGTAGAAAATCATCTGCATCTGGGGGTGCTCTCAACTCAGTCTCTTCTCTCACATGGCTACTGCAAGTTCTGCTGGCTTCTCTTCACCACTAGAGTCATCCCACTGGGGCAAGGCCAGTCCTCAGCTTGTGCCCATGGGGCAAGTGCTCCAAGAACGGCTCAGCTCCCCTGGAACTCCAGCCTGTGTGATCCTCTCTCCTTTCACAGTGCTCTAATGTCTTTAGAAAGAAGGCTTTATCATTGCTTTCTTTCATTCCCAGTTGTAGCAGGAGTGGTGGCCTGCCACGTCCTACCACATGCCGCATGAGAGCGGAAGTCTCCTTTCAGGTGGGTGTGAACCTACAGAGAAAGCGAACGCCTGCCTTTTTAATCCCGTTCATCAGCCAGTGAAAATGACCCCGTATTGTACAAACCCGGTGACATTCTTTTCTCTTTGTCCTTTCTGGTCAGGAACAGATGTCTATTTTCTTTTAAAATTGGCACCACCTGTTTATGTCCCGTTACTGGAACATCTCCCAGGACCTTGGCTTTCACCCCAGTCATCAGGCCGGAGTCTTGAGCCCTGCCCCTCGGTGGATGCACGTGAGTGTCCTGTGAACCAGAGAGCCACAAACTGCAGTGCAAGGAGGCTCTCAAAAGGGCCTGCGAGCCATGTTCCAGAACCGTAAGGTTTCTGTGGGATTCCCCAGTGGAGTGGCACTTGGTGTTTTTCTAATAAAATTACTGATTGTTTTTCTTCCTTCATGTGAGTGCGGCATTACTGATTCCAGTTCCTTCTCTTCTGTCTTAGTGTTGGACTTTGGTGTTTACCCTTAAATAGGGCTTTCACTTTGATATGCAGCTGAGAATATGCCTGTCATGCTTCTGTCTGGACGTTCACTACAGCCTAGGAAGATGCCTGGTAGGTGCTGCATTCATTCATTCATTCATTCATTCATTCATTCATTCATTCATTCATTCATTCATTCCTGAGTTTCTGCAATGTGTAAGGTAACCCACAAACCAGGTAAAGTAAGTGTCTTGCTCTTGGTTGACCTGAGAGGCTCTGTTTTACTTATTGTCCCAGCATAATTATGACAAGCACCCCCTTTCACACTCCAAAGCATCCCAGTTTGGACATAATTACATGGTTTCTTCTAGTTGCATGCATAGTGTGTGCTAAGCAAACACTAAGAGGAGAAAGCTGATTTTCAGTAGCTGATTCTCTCTTTAAAGTTTATCATCCTTAAAGGGTCTAACCTGGGGTCTTCCAGGTGCACTGAAGAGAAAGAGCATCTGGAAGCCAGAGAGGGCTTGGAGGAGGAGGTTTCTAGAGGTGAGTGGGGACTGGATGGGCAGAGAGGGCAGTCTGTGCTGAGGGGCAGTGTGAGCAACAGGGGGGCTCAGGGACACGCAGAATGTTCCAGAAGGGTGGTGGCAACAATGTGGGGACAAGAGAAAGCCAAGTCTGGGAGATAGGAGAAGATGACAGGGACCTCAAACAACAGCACAAATAGTGCGGGCTTTATCCTGCCAGCAGTGAGGAAACTCAGGAGGCGTCACGTGGTGTCATCAACCCAGACCAGGGATACACAGGCAACATAATCCAATGTAAAATGCCTCCTAATCCCTTCTAATTATAAAACAAATCTGGAACTCTAATCTGTCTCTACCATTTTGAAGGTTTACTATTACCTCTGCCTATAAGGATTTTAAAAGGCACAAAGGGATAGTGCTTTAATCCAGGGGTTGGGGCTGGAGAGCTTTGTCTGTGTAGTAAATGTTTTAGGCTCTGCAGATCCTACCGTCTGTCACATCACCTCAACTCTGCTGCTGTGCTAAGCAGCCGTGGCCGATGCACAAACGAACACGCGTGGCTGTGTTCCAGTAAAACTCTATTTACAAAAACAGGCGGCAGTGTGCATTTGGCTTGCAGGCTACATGCAGTCCCCTGACCCCTGCTTTAACCCAGGAGGATCCGACCACAGTAAGAAGTCCTTCTGTGCAAGGTAAGGTATGCTCTGGGGACGCAGCCACTGAAGGTGGGTCATGGAGGCTTTAGCAAAGGAAGGTGTGTGGTTAGATTGGCACTGAAAGTCCTACCGACGCCCGTAGCAGCTGTACCCTGTGCCCTGCTTCAGGGACCGGACTCCCCTATGGTGGCTGAGCTGAGAAGGGAAGACGGGATGAGCCGGCATGGCCAGGAGTTACCTCGGCTCGCTCTGCTGCGAGTGCGGATGCCCAGCACGGGCGTGGCGTCCTCCACGGAAGGGGAAGAGGTTTTCAGCACAGCCTTCATGTTCTCATGCTCTGCCGCATCCTCAGCGTAGCTCAGACCCTGCGGCTGGCTCGGTGGCGCCGGAGAGCTGCCAGAGAACTTGCCGGACTGCAAAACCAAAGGCGAGTTAGGATGTGAGGGAGACTCCCCGCGAAGCTTACACAACATTCAGTTAAGGAAAACCTCCCTCTGTCTTTTCTGGCTGTGTGCGTTCTGCAGATGCATGAGTTACAGCAACTACTGAGCTTGTCCATTAATGATAAAACATCTGTGTCTACAAGGAGATCTGTCATCAGAAAGGAAAGCCACCAGCCTCAGAAGGAACTCCACCCAGCCATCATCGTAGCAGGTCTCTGAGATCCCCTAAGTGGGTGCGGGCCAGGGACAACTGATACCGACTCTGGGAAGAGCTTAAAAAATCAAGTTTGTCTTTAACACCAAAGCCCTGATATGAGAATTAAAATACGCCATTTAAAAAAAATAAAGCTTAATATATATAACTATTTAGTGCCAGAAAGCAGTTACATTTTTCTTAAAGATCACTTATGGTGAGAGAATTACAAAAGTGGGATTCAATCACGGAATCATACCATGTTAAGAGTTGGGAAGGATTCTTCTAGATCTAGTCCCACCTCACTTTAAAGAAAAAGAAACTGAGGCTCTGCAAGAATAAGTGGCTTGCCACAGGCTCCAAGAAGGTTAGTGTCAGGGCCCAGAATAGAACAGAGCACAGAAATTCAGGCTGAAACTGAATTCATCAACACTCACTCCTTTTGGTTATGTCAAAAATGTAGTTGTTTTAGTAAGCACTACAAACACATGATGATTTTCTCTAATTCTAACTGAACAAAAAGTTAAGGCATGTATGTCTTAAAAGAGATATACTAGAACACTGTTCGTATGCCATGCCAAACATCTGGATGAAGAACAAAGTCAGAGTAACATTTGCAAAGAACAGGTACATGGATGCCTGGCTTCTTCCCATCCAGTGTCTCAGTAACAGGGTCAGGGACTTACACCATCTACACTGCTCCCTCCTCATCTTCCAGGGCCAATCAGCCCCAGCTTGGTTTCTGGCTCTTGCTCCTGCACCCAGGGTCAGGGAGGAGCCCCTGCCATCCCACCACTGCACACACGCTGACCCACGGGTACCATGGATGCCAACCAAGAAATGGGCACACTGCAGGTTACCCGTGGGCTGGTGGCAGAGGCTCTGGCCTGGCTCCTGGCTACTGCCCCACTTCCTCTTTGGTTTGAGGCCTCTTACTATGGTTATTCTAGAATTCAGTTCTTATACTTGAGTTGCCAAAAGGCTCGGACAGGGGAATGAAAGGAAATCCCTTGTCCACTTTTCTGGTAGCAGCAGGGAGAGTCCCACTGAGTCTGCCACTCACGACAGGGCTACTGGCTGGCCTGGACTCACAGACAGCTTGGAAAGTGCAGGTGGCCCTCCAGTCCCTGGCACATATGGCATGACGGGAGCTGGTCATGTGGTTAGTGATCACACAAAAACCAACCAGAAGATGTCCATGCATGGTTTAAAGCACTGGATGGTGCTGATGCTTCATGCTGGTTATGTTAGGTTAGACTACAGCACACATGGGAAGGTCATGTGGCGGTCTTCGTGTTTATAAACAGTCATACCTCAACTTCATCCTCGTCATCAGTCTACCCGACAGGACAGGACAGGATGGAAAAGACAGAAGGGATTCTTAGAAAGCACACAAGTCAACAAAGATGAGATCATCTCAATGTCACATCAAATTCCAAATAAAGAAATTGGCCACCACGACTTGGGTACACCCTCTTAAGATGCGAGTTGCTGGGCCCCGCCCTGCTGTCCTTGTCTGGAGACTCCATCTGTGAACTCCAACACCAGCCCTGACCGGGGGCAGGAAGCACTTGCAGGGCTCCAGCCAACCTCCTGGGGCTGCCCTTAGCCAGCAATCAGCTTACCTGGTTCCCTGACCCACTACCCACCTCACTCCCAGCTCTGTGGCCTGCTACTTTGGTGGCCGAGTCATGCTGAGCCCACCACCAGCTGCTGGCCATGAGAGCCTCAGTGAGTGGACTGGCCCCTGTTTGCGTGGCTCTGCCTGTCAGCTGCCATCCTCCCCTTGTCACAAGCGCTGGACCCCTCCCTGCCCAGGCTGCCAGGTCTGGGCTGCCAATAGTACTTCCATGCACAGCCCAGATGGGACAAGTGGGACGACTGCCCAAGCAGGACGTTCCATGTCACTCTCTCCTCAGACGTGACATTATGTTCCTTCTAAAATCTCACCTGTCCCTCATGGTGGCCACCTGAATCCTCTGTACTTCTAATTACTTTATCATTAGATCAACTTCTTTAAATGACTTTACATAAAATACCTTTTCTAAAAACAAGCTGAGGCTGAAAACTCATGTCCATCTCTTGATTTTAAATTCAGCACACCTTTCATTTAAGCGTTTCCACTGAGGTTACAGGCAGGCCAGCAAATCTGATGCAAGTTTTTTGAGAACTGACTACGTTTTTAGAAGTTAAAATGACAAAATGCTTCTAGTTCATCACATTCCACACTGCCTCACCCAAATGGCATTGTGACAAGAGACAACACTCTTGTTCCCCCCCACACACACACACATATATATGTCTTACAGCTTATTTATTTAACCAAGATGACTGGCATTTTTTCCAGCAATCAACACATGTGCAAGGTGTTGCATATATAAACTTTCTAGCCCTCTGGACATCCCCAAAAGTAACTATCCTTCCCTTTGTATGGAAGAGGAAGTTGGGGTTGAGAAGGGTTAAGGGTCTCACCCAGGGTGACAGCTGTCCTCTGATACTCTGATGTGGGAACCCTGGGGTTACTAGGCTGAGTTGTCAAAACCCACATCTGGAGGAAGACGACAGCAGAAAGGCCACAGTCGCCTTGCCTATGTCACCATTTGGTCTAGAACCACTTCTGGACACGAGGATAAGGAATGAGCTTCCTACTGGCTTTTACCTTGGAGGACCCTAGATTGTGAGGAAGGAGGCCTTCTGCATACCCAGAAACCAGGGGGAGAAAAGGGAGCAGCACTCAGGAGCTGATATTGGGCTGAATGCATAAATACAGGGTCTTCAGATTTTGCCCCAGACTTCCCATCTCTGTTTAGTTGCAACCACTGGTATCCTCATTCTATTCAGCATCTGTATTAAAAGTGATTTCATACAATTCTCTCTATAATTTCTTCTAGCTCCAATATTCAGGGGCTCCATGATTCTAAATCTATTGGCTGGTTTTGTTTTCAGCGGTTTCATGTGTGTATATGTCACTTTCTAAACAGACTGTGTGATGTTCTTGGGGAAAAAGCTTGTTTTTCATTATATCTACACCTTCCTCACTGCCCAGTACAGTGCTGGGAACAGAATGAGCTTAATAACCGAGAGCTGAGGCTGCCCACTTTGCCTTAAGTGACGATATCCTAATCCTCCAGCAGGGGGCAATCTGCCTGCACAAATGATGCCACTTTGACCACTAAAAACATGAGTTAGGCTGACAGTGAACCCTGAACTGAAGAAGCCTGTACTGTCCAGATTTTAATGAGAATTTCAATATTTTTGGATCAAACTCTAGAAACTCTTCACCTGTTTAGAATTGGGAAAACCAAATGTTTTCAGAGAAGGACATAATTTAAAAATTAGTGGGATCTATAAAAAAACTCAAGAATTTAGCAAGAAATTCTGATGTGTTTTTATAACTATAAGCATATTGGACTTGTATTTTTCACCCTCCAATGTTGTCTCACTTCCATAAAAGTAAGTGATTCCTTTTTGAAAACATTTAAAATAATACTTTGGAATGAAAAGTGGGCCATAGTTTGCCCAAGTGGATTTAATCTACTTCCTGAGCTGCTGTTCCCCTGGAGGCTAAAGATCCTACAGGGCTGATGGCACTGGCAGTCAGAGCTTCCAGGGGGCTGTAGAAAGAGCTCCTCCTGCAGAAAAGTCACCTGAGCACTTCCTACAGGTCCAGAAAATGCAAAGGAAACAAGGGCTTAGGTGGAGGTGGATGGTATGGGGCTTAGTCCCTGGTTTGCAGAATTGCCTTAAAATAACACAACCCCCTCAGGAACATGGGCTCTCAGACAGCAGTAGCCACGTGCTCTCTGTTTTGCCTGCAACATGAACACACAGCTAGGCACAGAAGACAGCCTCAGTTTGGTCTTCTTAATTCATTTTCTTCCCCCCCAAAAGAGATCTGCCTGACCTCAGTTCAGCTGAGGCTTGCAACCCCTTGGGTGACGGCACCTTCTATGGCTTAATCTTTTCCTCATTCCATCCTTATACCACCGGGAGCCACATACTCCTCAAATACATACACAGATGGCTAAAGTTCACGGATGCCAAACCATGAAAAAAATCACACTGAAGTGTCCTTTTCAACAGGTTCCAAATATGACCTGTCAGTCTCAAAAAGAGATGACTCATTCTCCCTGAGTATGTTCAAGTAAGAATAAATAATGAGTAAAAGGAGAATTCCCAGAAAATTTCTCTGTCTTGCCTGGAACTGACCTTACACAGCCCACTAGTAATGGATGAGGTGTGAGAGACACCAACCTGGCTTTCACGTTTCATAAAAGCATATGAGAAAGAGGAACCTGCACTGTGTACCTTCGCTGCTCTCTGGCATTGATCTTCATGCTTCCCTTTACCCTCTACTTACTGAGCATCTCACCTCTGACTGCCCACTGCATCCGCAGCCAGTGGGCTGGGGGCTGAGGTGGGAGACCTGGGGGAAGAGCTCAGGAACAGGAGAGACATGCAAGTGTGCATGGACACCCCCAGGTGCTGTAGGGAAACTCCTGCTGGATTCACTGTCCCCTGGGATCTCTTTCCACCCTGATATTCTGTGATTCGAGGGACTGCCAAGAACCCATCACATTATGTCTCTGCAATCACATCAACTTCCCTATTCAGAGGCCACCAGCTAGGTGGTCCATGTGTCAGCTGATTGGTTATATAGCATTGTTTCGATGATTAAAATCCTGAATCAATACCCAAATCAGTATATTTGTCTTCCTATGACAAGTAGCATTATCTTTTTTATATTTTTCTTTTCTTCCAATTTTACCCATATCAGAAGAAATGGAAATTGAGCATTTAATGACATACAATACACCAAAATGAGTTACATGTTCCTCCTTCAGCCACATGACTTTACATATCCTAGCCCTTGTTTGTTATATAGAACAGTGGTCCCCATCCTCTTTGGCACCAGGGACTGGTTTCACGGAACCCAATTTTTCCACAGAGCAGGGGGGTGGGGTGGGAGGATGCTTTGGGGATGACTCAAGCACACCACACTGATTGTGCAGTCAAACTTCTCTGCTAATGATAATCTGTATTTGCAGCCGCTCCCCTGTGCTAGCATCACCGCCTCAGCTCCACCTCAGATTATCGGGCATTAGAGTCTCATAAGAAGCCACAACCCAGATCCTTCAGATGCATAGTTTACAGCAGGGTTCATGCTCCTATGAGAATCTAGTGCTGCGGCTGATCTGACAGGAGGCAGAGCCCAGGCGGTGATGAGAGTGATGGGGACCGGCTGTAAGTACAGATGAAGCTTCGCTTGCTTGCTCACCGCTGACCTCCTGTTGTGCAACCTGGTTACTAACAAGCCAGGGACTGGGACTGGTCCACAGCCTGGGGGTTGGAGATCAGAGATATAGAAGGTTTTCACAAAAATAATAAAGGAGCAGAGAGTCAGAGCACTTTTTAAATGAGGCATTTCACAGTTAAAAAAAAAAAAAGGCACAGTTCCTCAACTGTTGGGAGGATTTATGATTGATCTTACTTGGGAAATAAATGACCAAAGAGACTGATTTTCTGAAACTTACATCAGTGATCATCTTCCCTCTGGTCTTATTTCTCTCTCTGTGGTTGGCCCGTTTCTGCTTTTGCTGCAAAACCCTTTCCCTGGTGGTGCGATACTCTAGTGCAAATTCACTAATGATCCTGCAGAACTTGTTTATGTTCACTTCCCGAATCGCGTAAGGTGGATGGCCCATGAAGAGCAAAAAGGAGTGGAACCTGCAAGGAACAAACAGGTATGGCAACGACGTCAAGTTTTAAGGAACAAAAATTATCTAAAATTTCTCAGTAAGAAACCAATGAGAGAAGCAGAAATTACTTTTTCCTTTTGATTATCTGTGCTTTAACATTTTTCTAAAATGGATATGTAAAACTTCTGTTAGAAAAATGATAAAGTACTATTTTAAGAAAAATATTCTAAGTTTCTAAATTATACAAGAATTGTATAGGAATAAGGAAATGTTGCTTAGAAATTCCTTTAATGAATGCTTGGAATAGACATGAATATATTATGAATAACATGTTAATCGATGGTTTGTACATAGATGCTTATAACGTTTTCTTGAGTAAATATTTTGAAACATTTTCTTACAATATTACATGAATCTTAATTAGGAAACATCAAATTGGCAGAACAAAATCTATTTAAGCTATTTAATTTATAAATAAAAAGCACTAGATATTATTTATCTAAAAATTTTATAAAAGGAATTAAAAGATCAAACAAGTACCCGAGTTTTAGTTATCAGGAAATGAGGAAGAAGACAGCAGGAGACAGATGGAAATCTTTATGTGGAACAAGCAGTATTATACAAATGCTCCACTATTTGCAGACAAACCTTTTAGTTTTAATCACTCTGATTTGTACACTTTGGGTGTTTTGTGTGTGTGTTTTAAATGAGGGACATTGGCTTATTCTTTTTGTAAAGAATGAAAAAATAAAGCATACGGCTTGTTTTTAAAGTAAAGGGGGCCGATATGCAAAAGAATGAAACTGGACCCCTATCTCTCATCATACACAAAAATCAACTCAAGATGGAATAAAGACTTGAATGCAAGACCTGACATCTTAAATATACTAGAAGAAAACCTAGGGAAAACTTTTCTGGACATTGGTCTAGGCCAGGCATCCTCAAACTACAGCCCTCGGGCCACATGCGGACCACCTAGCACATTTATCCGGCCCTCTGGATATTTTTGCCACCACTGCCTGTCCTGCTTAGCAGCCAACTCATCCCGGGCCCACAGTGCGCACTCTCCAACGGTCTGAGGGGACAGTGAACTGGCCCCCTGTTTAAAAAGTTTGAGGACCCCTGGCCTAGGCAAAAAATTCACAACTAAGACCTCAGAATCAAAATAGACAAATGGGACTTAATTAAACTATAAAACTTCTGCACAGCAAAAGAAATAATAAACAGAGTGAACAGACAACCTGAATGGGAGAAAATATTTATAAACTATACATCTAATAGAGAACTAATATCTAGAATTCATAAGGAACTCAAATAACTCAACAAAAAACAACCCCATTAAAAGTGGGCTAAGAACATGAATAGACATTTTTGAAGACATACAAATGGCCAATGAACATATGAAAAAATGTTCAACATCACCAATTATCAGAGAAATGCAAATTACAGCCACAGTGAGATATCATCTTACACCAATCAGAATGGCTATTATAACATTAAAAAGATAAAAAAATAACAGATGTTGACGAGGCTGTGGAACTCTTATACAATGGGAATGTAATGGGAATAATAATAATGGGAATGTAAACTAGTGCAATCTCTATGGAAAACAGTATGAAGATTTCTCAAAGAACAACAAATAGAACTACCACATGATCTAGCAATCCCACTACTGAGTATCTACTCAAAGGAAAAGAAACCAATATATAAAAAAGATACCTGCACTCATGTCCTTATTGCAGCATAATTCACAATAGCAAAGATATGGAATCAACCTATGTGTCTATCGACAGAAGATTAAAGAAAATGTGGTATATAAACACAAATACCATTCAGCCATGAAAAAGAATGAAATCGTGTTTTCTGCAGCAACATGGATGGAACTGAGAAGTCCATTATCTTAAGAGAAATAACTCAGAAACAGAAAGTACCATATACTCTCTCTTACAAGTGGGAGCTAAGTAATTGTGCACATGGAAGCAGAGTGTGAATGATGGACAATGGAGACTCAGAGGGGGATGGATGATGGGAAGTTGCTCAGTGGGTACAATGTTTCTTGCTCCACTGATGGATGCACTGAAGGCCCTGACTTCACCACAATACAATACATCAATATAGCAAAATTGCTCTTGTACCCCATGAATAAAAAACTCATAGGTTCTCCAAGGGCTAACTGTGGATCAGGTAAAGGAGGAACTTTTCTAAAACGTAGAGCTGCCTTGCAAGGGAGCTCACTCTTGGTAGGTGAAATTGTTCTCACAGATGCAGAAAGGCAGGATTGGATTCATCAGAGATCTTAGAGATATAATTCCTTACCAAGTAGGATTTTTGGATCAAATTCTCTCTAAGATTCCTCCCAACTTCAAGATTCAATGACATTATATTATTATGTGTGTAAGAAAAATTAAGCATCCATGGAACTGTCAAACATCTGTATGATTGGTACACTTACTATGCACCAAGAATGTAAAGGAAAATTCTGTCAATTTAACCTTCATATCTTGGTTTGCAGAATATTTTCAACATGCCATTTTGTTCATGTTTCTATAAGTTCCTCAATCCACTTACCTGTTAATTATTCTTCTATGGACAATCTTTAAAATTATAATTCGCTCTGCACAGTCTTTTAGGAACTCTGACATCCGTTGTTTTAAAACGGGTTTCATTTCATGTTTTGCAATTGCCTTGAGGTGATCCCACGAAGCTTTGCATCTTCTCTCCATCTGACATAAATTATCCTGAAGTTGATCAAAGTCAACCTGAAATCAGAGAGAAAACACCGCAAATGCACTGAAACAGCCGGACACCAGCCTGAACTGGGAGACCAAACTGCCTCTGGGAAGAAACAAACATCAAAACCAAATTCACATCTTCAAATACAAACATATTTACAGCCTAAGAATTATTCACATGTGGATTTGTCATTATCTTGACATCACATTATTTAGTGATAAAACTGTTCTCCAGATGAACCCAATATATGTGTCACCTTTTTTTTTTTTTTTTTTTTTGGCCATATTTGGAAATAAATCTTAGGAAAGTCTTTGGGAACTATAAATGAAAACATGGTATCAAGGAAGCCTGGTACAAGATGAACTGAGTAGATGTCTCAAAATTTTTCACAGCACTTTTGTCCTTCAGAGATGATATTTCACTTAAGGTTGAGGAATGCACCCTAGTCACACATGGGTGGCTTTGCCATGTTGGGGGACCAGCTAAGGGATAGCCAGCTTCTCTTCATGATGATCCCTTTGACACTTTGTGGGACTAATTACTTTATTCATCCACCCACTCACTCATTCAACCAACACTCATGGAGAAACCAGTAGACACCAGTCCCTAAGCCAGGCACAGAGAACATAAACATAAATGCTGAATGAGACCAAATTCTTATTCTCAAAGAGGCTCACTGGACAGACAGGTGATCACCAAGGCCTGAAAGATGCACAGCACCCCCCAGGCCCATGCACATCTGCACATGGGCGTGAGGTCTCACCAGCAGAGAGAAGTCACACGTGCAGGGAACAGATGTGACAGAGCACTCCTGGTGTGCCCAGGGAACTGCGAACAGTCTGGATGGACTGACATGACCTGAGACAAGGCTTTCTAAGGAAATGCTTCTATAGAACTTCAAGATTAAAAATGACAAGAATTAGAAAGTTATCTAGTCATGAAAAAAGACACAGGAGGGCCACAGTTAATAGAGGGAGATGTGGGATGGGGAAAAAACTGAGAGGGAAAGAGGCGGGGAGGAAGACATAGACAAACACGTGGGTGAGCTGGAGGCAGGGCAGGGAAGGAGAGAGAGCAGTAGGGAAAGGGCGAGGGTCGGGCAGGCAGAAGGCAGAGAGCAGGACACGCCTGCCGATGAGCCGCCCCAGCTTCAGTGCCAGTGAGCAGGTCCTGTGAGCAGGGACTTACTGGAGTAACCTCAGTCCCCAAACACCCCCACGAAGGACAACGGAGAGGATCAAGTCCACAGCGGTGGGTTCTGTGAGAGGATCTGTGTCACCAACAGGAGGCAGACATACCTAGCACAGGGGGTGTCTGGAAGACACGGTGTGTCCTGGATGTCTCAGTGCTAGAGCCAAAAAGGCGAATTTCGGCAGAAGCCTGGGACTGAGGTAAGCAGGAGGTTCATAGCCCCCTGAGGAAAACGATTTGCCTGAAACCAAAGGAATTCTGGGTCTGGACAGAAAAAGCTTCCTTTTCTTACGACACAATAGAGCTGAGAAAAAAAAATATCTGTCAGGCCAGCTCAGTGGCCCTGGCCCTTGGTGCATGTGGCACCAGCCTGCCGGTGGCTCCTGCAACAGGTGGCGGAGGCTCCTGGCTACCACGGCCCCACAAGCCAGGGCTGCCGGAGAAGGCAGAGAGAGGCAGCGCCCTCTCCTGTCCACCACCTCTGCCCACTACTGTCCTCCCATCCTGGATCCCAGTGCTCCCTAGCTGGGCGTGTATTTCCAGGAGGTTCCTCCATGTTGTCCTGGCTCCTGTAACCCATTCCAGGGCGACCCCTCCTCACCCCTGTGAGTCCCCCTCATCCCCTATGCTCCAAGACCTTCTTGTCTCCCAGTTCTGGTACATTTGGGAGTTGTTCTGCCTCAGTGATCGTCCTGCCTTGGCAGCAGATGGGGGTCCACAGACTGCGACTGTCTCTCTTCTAATAAACCATAAGCTTATGAAGAAGTTAACTCTGCGCTCACTTTCAGAACCTGCAGCGGAGGGACCAAGGCTACATGCTGTTACAGCCCTATAAAGATGCTCCCTCTGGGGAACATCACATGGGGGCCAGGCGAGCCCTGCTTCCCGGCTCCACGCCTCACTGTGAGGTCCTGTCGCCATCTTGGGGGGAGCCACGCTGCATCTTTTTGACATGGTTTGTCTACCTTAGGCAAGCTGTGCGGTTTTAACATTCTCAAAATTCCAGCCGCAGGAGCAACCCTGCTCAACAGTGGACGGGGAGTCAGGAAAGGGGTGGCAGAGTCCAGCCGAGAACCAGAGACAGGAAAAAGATCTTAAAAGTTCATTAGAAATGGCATGAAACAAATCACATTCACAAACTCTAGAGGCAGGAACGCAGGCAGCATTTGAGCAGAGCATGTGTTCCCCGGGGGATGACTGACAAAGAGCCAATGTTGTAGGCTAAGGGAGGCCAGTCCTCGACGTCCTCGGACGTACCTTGGCCGACCTGGTGATGGCCCCAATCTCCGAGTACAGATCGGAGCTGTCTGGGAAGTTTTCCACCACCATGGTGCACACGTGGTGGAGAAGCGACTGCTTGTGCACTGTGTCTTTGACTTCTGGAACCTTCTCGAGGTAGCTTAACTCAAACGCTTTGGCCTGCATGGCAAACATCAAAGACAAGACAGAAAGAACAAGTTTTACATAGGCTCTTAGAACAGCACACGTGGTTAAAATCAATGCTCAGCTGCAGTAGCCCAATATTTGGTTTCTCTGCAGCTAAAGATTCTCAGGCCACGTGTGCCATCGTACTTGGCTGATCACACATGGGCCGGCCACACGGAAAAGGGGGTGACCCTCCCGCCTTTTCCCACCGCAGCCATGAGCCACGTCCCAGGGCCCACCCCCAAATCAGGGTGCTATGGGACTGTACCTCTGACCTCGCATTTCCACAGCTTCTTTCTCCCATTGCCCTGCTGCTTGTTTACTTTCTGGCCAAAGCTGAGCCAATAAAAAGTATCGAAATGTGTATAAGTGCAGATATTCGTGTGATAAGCTCAGGAACAACAACAAAGAAAAGGGTTGAAGAAAATTCTTCAGTGTCAATTTTGAGAGTAGCCATGCTTCATAAGGAACAGTGTGCTTATTTTTCTAAGTTTTCTTATTTAAGGCAAGATACAGGTACAAATAAATAGGCTGTGATGAGTACTGATTTCCAGCTATAAAAAATTGGTTTGATATTTTAAGAACAAAATTCCTTCTAGATTTTCCACAAGAAGATACGAAAGTTATTTTAGCTGTGTCTGGGGGGTGGGAGGGGTCCTGAGGTACAGCCTCCCTCAACCAATGCCCACAAGGATTTTGTCACGAGGGAGGAAGGGGGATGAGGGACAAGGGAAGACTTACATTCGTTCCATTTAGAAAGTTCCCAATGGCTAAGAGGGTGGACAGGATAAAGCCCAAGGTTTTATTGTTCTCCAACTGGTCTATTCCTTCCTTCAGGTCCAAAAGTGGTTCTGCCACTTCCTTTCAGTTAAAAGAAAATAGAAGACGATAAAGAACCTACAATCTGGCTTTGCTTTGTTTTTACTCTTTCTATAAGGGACAACAAGGGGGGGTTTCTCCACAGCACGAGGTGGTCCCACATGAGGGACATGGGCTTCTGGGTATGGAAAAGGGCGACAGGAGAGTCTCTGTTCCCCAAAGTCTTCGCAGTGGAGACCAAATGGTGGCACTTGTGCTGGGGTGACAAACACTCTGTCCTCCTGTTCCTGCCATCATCTAAGCCCAAGCAGGACCCTCAGGGCACACCCCCCCATGCTCCCTCCTCACACAGCTGATGTATGTGGCACACTTCCTTCAGCGTCTAGACCGCAGTCTTCTCTTTGCCTTTCCTCCTCCCAGGCAGACAACACTGGAAACTGTAGCCTCACTGTTCCTGGACCATCCCAGGGCTCCTAACTTCCCCTTAAGGCACTCTGTGGCTGACCACTGCTTAGCCTGGGTTACTCACTGGAAGGCCACTGTCCTCAGTACTCTGGCCACCTCGTTACTCTCCTCCTCCAACCTTCTGCCTGCCCAGCATCATGTCTCCATCTCCCCCTCTACTGCCATTCTGTGGCCCTCACTCATACATCTTCATCGAGGCTCTCCCCTAACCGATACCCCAAAGCCAAAAGGTCAGCTCCGTTGCTACTGCCAGGCTGGCCCTGCCAATCTCCAACCAAGGCCGACCCAATCATCTGTTTTCAACAACACGTTACCTAACTTGGCTACAGAAAGTCACCTGAATGTGCTCACTGCTCTTGCGACCAAGTCACAGCAGTCACCTCAGCAGTCCTGGGTGTCTTCATCCATGCTTGATCTCCTCATGAATTCAAATGCAGCAGCTCCCTCCTGAAGCACCCCCAAACCCACCACCACCTCTCTGGCCCTCAGTAGAGGACCTTGCTCCCTCCTTTGCCAAAAAACGGAGACCACACGGCCTCTCTGAGAACTTGGACTTGAGAATCTATCTCTTCTCAACTAAGCTCCCCTGTAGCTCACCTTCCACCTCTCCCTTTGCCTCACCTCTTCTTTCTGTTCAGCCTGCAAAGACATTGCCACTGCCACTGCCCCGTCCAGAGAGACGCCCGTGTCCTCCGCATCCTGTTCAAGAGGAATGTCCCCAAGCCTTCCCTATCAAGGTCCCTTTCCTTCTGTTCTCTCAACCTGCTGGAATCTGCTTCAACTTCCTACTGAGGACACTCTCCCAAAGGGCTCCAAAGACCTGTAACTACCATAGTCAATGGCAGTCGAGGTGATTATCATCGGGTAGAAGGATTACAGGAAATTTTCTATCTAGCACTTGTCTGTATTTTCTATATTTCCTACAATAAGAATATAGCATTTGAAAAAAGAGTAATTTTTTTTTAAACTCAGTCTGGTGCCCACAGTGCAGCATCTGAGGCTCATGCCAGCAGCCACCATCAACTCTCTCTCCACATCCTGTGTCAAGAGTGGTATTTCACTACCTTAATATTCACCAATAAAAACTGCCTTTCTTGACCCTGGGTATTGGGATGGGCTGCCTCTCTCACCGGGCCTTTACCTTCTCTGTGGTTTCGTAATCCATTTTGAACGCCCAGAGGTGGAGCCGAGCAGAGAGCTCGCTGATGGAGGACAGCGTGAGGAGGAACTGCTCGGCGCTGCCCAGGGGCACTTCGGGGTTGGCCAGCTGCGCTTCCTGGATTTTCTGCTTCTCCTCCTCGGTGGGAATCATGGTCAGAATTTTCTGGAAAGATGGGATCACATAGTATATTCTCTCTTAGCGATGGACCCTCCGCCACCTCTCTGATGTTTTCACATTCATATGATAATTTTCCAATTAGGTAGTAGAGATATTCTGTTGTTAGTGGGTTTTGTTTTATTATATACAGGTGGTAAGCCATAAGCCAAATATACTTTAAGCAACTTGTCCGAAATTTTCTGGGTCTTTCACATGAAGGACATTCTAGCCAAGAAAGTGGAATTGGAAGATGAGAGAAAGGTGAAGGATGGAAGATCAGAGAACAACTCCCTATTCCCCAGGTAAAATAGAGCAGAACTGGTCAAGAATATATGCTTTGGAGCCCTTCTCCTGGATTAATTTAAGAGCTTATAAAAATGAATCATTTTCAAAGAACACAGACTGATTTTCGTTCATGTGACATAAGTTTAATTGTACTAACTTTAAAATTCACATAGAAATTATAATACTTTAAATAGTATTCAACTCAAGTCTGACTGTGGAAAAAGTGATGACGGCATATATAAAGGGCAATACTCACCTGCTAAAGACAAGAGTAGACCTTTTACCGTATTTGCTTCTGGTAAAAATCAATTGTGGAAAAGCAGAGAAGGCAAAAAGCCAGCAGAATGGTTATGATTCTTGTGTGTTCAAATTCCTTGCTGATTACATTTTTTTAAAAAAAAAAAAAAGTAAAAATTCCCCTCTCTACTCTTACCATTCCTATTTTATATCATATGGTACTCCTAGCCAGGCACGTAACAGAAATAAAAGACATACAGACTGGGAAGAAAAATTGCTCAACTTAAACCTTCCCATATACATAAACCCAACATGTATATCACAGATCTAAAAGTAAAATGTTAACACTCTAAAACTTTTAGGATAAAACATAGAAGGAAATCTTTGTGATCCCTGTTAGGCAAAAAATTCTTAGACATGATACCAAAGAAGAATAGGTTAATAAAATGAACTTTATCCATATTAAACTATTTTGCTCTGTGAAAGACACTGTTAAGAAAACAGAAGTTATAGTCCCTCAAATGATTAAACATAGAGTTACCGTATGACCCAGCAATTCTGCTCTTGGGTATTTACCCTAGAAAAATGAAAAGGTAAGTTCACACAAAGGCTTGTACATAAATGTTTATAGTGGCTTTATTCATAATTGCCAAAAACTGGACCAAGCCAAATATTCTTCAGGGGTGACTAGATAAACTACAGTCCATCCCTACAATGGACTAATACTCAGCCATAAAAAGGAACAAACTATAGATACATACAATGACTTGAATGAATCTCAAAGGCATCACCCTGAGTGCAAGAAGCCATTCTCAAAGAGGTGACATGCCATCCATGTGATATCCTCAAAAAGGCAAACGTATAGTAATGGAGAATACATCAGTGGTTGCCAGGGACTAGAGGTGGGTTGAGGACACAAGTACAAGAGTTTCTGGGGGGAGATGGGACTGATTTAAATCCTGATTGCAGTGGTCATTGCATGAATTTAGGGATGTTTTAAAACTCATAGAACTCTACACCACAGAGAGTCCAATGCACTCTGTATTACTTCAAAAAACAAATAACAAAATAAGAAACCCAATGCCATAGTCAGCAAATATGTAGACTTTTACACAATTGCACATCAGGATGTATCTGGCTGGGGAAGTATTAAGTCTTAGGCTTGATAAGGGTGTTAACAGGCAGCGCTGTTTTCTTGGTGGTTTATCAGAAGCCAGAGATGGGAAACTGCACTGAAGATGTGTATTCAGGCTGCAGTCAGAGTGAGGAGGCAGAAGGTGAGATCTGGGTGACCCTGAGACACCTCCCTTTTCAACTTTCCTCCCACCATCGCTGAGCCTATAGGGGTAAGCATCTGAGCATCTGGAGAGACATTTGGTGACAGTGTTTCTTGTATGCCCACTCCCCTGGCTCATGCCCCACCTGTTCACACATGGCATTAAAAATAACCAAATAATTAAAATATAACCAAAATAATTCAAGCAGCTGTAGCTTCTTTAAAATCATACATTATTTAAACTCAACTAGCTTTCAAAATAAAAACTGAAATTTGTATTTTAATTTCCTTAATGCTTAAACTGCTTTAGGCATGACAAAAATTCCAAGACAAGAAACTGTCGACACTTTGTACAACCTTCAGAAGGCATTTTCTTGTGATGACTTTTGTGCTTTGTTCTTTTGAGAAAGTAATCAAATACTCTTCGTGTTTTGTTTTTCACTTCTCTGACTAATTTAAACCATTTGTTCACTGTTGAAGATTTATGAGTTTTCCACCTGCCAGTTTATTTTTTTACACATCGCTGACAATAAAAATAGCTGTAAGACAGTGGAATGGCAGGTCAAAGCCCCTCCTGTGAGCTGACAGCCCTTGTTTTCCATGAGCAGATGACACTGGATTGAGCATGAGGTGGTATGTTGGACTTGCTTTTCTATTAAGTCAGTAGATTTATTGATGATTTTATGCTCATCATTTGGTTTCACAGGAAAACAAACATCAAGGACCAATATGTGATAACCTCAGTGTTTTTAGCTTTCTCCCAGACAGTGCCTCTCCAGTATTGCTCTAAATGCACTTGCTTTTACATCTGAAAGCTGTGCATTTCAGAGAAAAATGAAGATATCTCTTTTTATGGACCCAAATTCTATTGGGCTTGTCCATTTCATTCACCTGCAGATGAAACCATAACAAATAATGATTTCATATTTTGCTTTCCTGAGTTTTGAACAGAACTGTGACTATAGCTTTGGGTAAGAATCTACCACAAGGATTTTGGTGATAACAATAGAAAAAAGCTGGAGCCCTCGGAGCTAAGCCTTGTTTGTACACAACTTGCATATTCTTGTGAGTAAATGGCTTTCTATCCCTGTAGTTATTTTCATGTAGCAACTTATCTTTTTAAAACTTCTTGAAACATCTTGATGGTATGGTCATTCTTATGACTACTCATTGAGGCACACTGGGGCTGAAATTATTGCATTAAACTTACAAAGGAAACGATTTGCCTGAAGCGAGGTTGGATCCACCAAGGCAGAACTAGAGAGCACCCCTGGGCTATTCCTCATTTCCTAGCACTAGCTCCACAGTTCACAGGGATTCAACCAGAAATGCAAAGTTAACAGAGCAGCTAAATCATCAGGATATTCCAGTTCCTGCTGAGCCAACTGCGACTCCCCATGGCCAGGTGTATCTGTGTGTATCCAGCACCCAGTTGGGCACCTGCAGACAGGCACCGTGCAGCAGAAACTACTTTAAAAGATGCTGTAGCTTTTGTATGTGTGGCCAAAAGAAACTTGTTTCTAGGATGCTGACAGGCCTGGCAACCAGACTGGGCAAAATCAAATGTTTTTTGACCATTCAATTTTGATACCCTCTGAGTAGACACAAACTTTGTAAAAATTATATAGAAAAGCAAGAAAAGAAAAAGGGAAATCTTCATACTTCCATTTGTGATAACTTGATGACATTTTACTCTGGCAAAAATCATTAATGCTACTTAAAGATGGCTCCCAAATGATTTGCTAAAAATGCAAAATGAGTTGCTTATGAAAAACAATTTCCTTAATGAAGTTAGCTACTTCCTCAGGTTTTCATGACACACACAATACATACCACTGGGTTGCTAAGCAAAGCCACAGGATGCCATTTAATACATCCTAATTATGTTTAGGTAAGCAGAGCTTTCAAATGACCCCATTAAACTGTGGTGCCATGCAGATGGTTTGGCTACAGCCCCTTTGGGTGCAAGCTGGAAATCTTGTTAACAAAGATCTGTAAAAACACAACTACATCTCTGGCTCAGTCCTGATTTAACTCTTAACAACAAGCCTAGAGAACAAGCTCTGGGTACCAGCTTGGCACATGGATCTAGATCACCTCTGCCCCTTAGGTCCTGATCAATGGCCAGAGATAGCAGGTGTGACTGACAGTGTCCTGGATCCACTGTTGTTTTCTCAGCTGTGCCGAGGGACATACACAGTCTCTGGATTCACAAGGGCTGCCTTTAGGATCAGGGGTTCTCAAACAGGGTGATTTTGTCCCCAGGGTACAAGTGACAGCGTCTGGAGACATTTTTGGTTGCCGGGGAGGGTAGATGTGCTCAGGACAACCTTCCACAACAAAGCACTGTCTGACCTAACACTCCAACAGCACTGAGGTTGAGCAACCCGCTTTAGATGACAACTGATACAAATGTTGTAACTCCAAGTGCTGTTGTGACGCACTACGAATTTATATGAATTTACTGCGATGCACTATGAATTTATATGAATTAACTCAGGACTCAAGACACAACAAAATCTTAGGAAGGGGTTGCCATGGTTTCCCATGGCTGTGTCTTCTTATTTGAAATTGCTCCCAGGTGGCAACCGTAGGTGGCACAGTGGAGGACCAAGTGGCCTCGTGCACGCCTTTCCCTGCTCCCTTCAGGTCCCTCTTCTTCCCGGGGACCTGCAGCGCCCCTCCCTGGCCGGCCATCCTCCAAACCGCAGCCTGCACGCTAGACTGCGGCTCCAGGGTCGTGTTCCAGCTCAGCTGCTCACTCACTGGCTTGGGAGCTTGGGCACAGGCCAACGTGGGGACTCCCTTTCTTCACCTTTGAAATGAGGAATATAGTAGTGTGTACCTCATAAGCTTTGGTAAGAATCTGTGCAAAGTAAAACACCCATGAAAGTCACACTGGTGCTGTGTTGCTATTCCCGAACCCATCAGCTGCTGTCATCGTTCCTTCCTGGATCAAAAGGGTGCTTGAGTGCAAACCAGTCAGACAGGGAAACGGAGTAATTTAGTTCACTCTATAATCTGAAACTTTCCCCACCTAGAGAGAGCCGTATTTCAGGAAAGAATAAAGGCAAAGCCCAAAGGAATCAATCTCTCCTGATGGACTTTCAAGTTCTCATGACAAGGAGAGGGAATATTTTTAAAGGGGGAAGTCGTTATTTTTTCCTTTAATCAAGCTGGCTCTGATTATCTTTGAAGCCTCTCTCTATAGGAATCTGAAGCTTCTGCAATCTCTAAAGGACCTTGTTATGGAAATAGGATGGCCCAAGGGTGCTGCCTGGGCCTACTCCCCCTAGTTTCTCCTAGATGAAAGACACTTTGCACTTGGTTCACCCAAGGACAGGCCACTGCCCTTCTTTGGCTTTGCTGCCCTGGGGCCACTGTCCCAGGCTAGCAGCTGCCTCAGTGTCTCTCTTTGTATCTACCTGCTGTCACCCACTCACTCCTTTATGCCTCCGACTCATCTGCCATGTGCCCTCACTCCCCGGCTGCCCACCCAGTTGTGCTGACCTGCTGCCACCCACCCGGTTGTGCTGACCTGCTGCCACCCACCCAGCTGTGCTGACCTGCTTGGCTGCCTGGCCTGACTCTAGGACTTAGGGCACAACTTCCTCTCCAGGCAGGAAGAAAATGCATTTCCCTTGTTATACCTGTTCCTGGAACAGGGTGTATGTGTTTATCAGAATAGAGCTGCTTGGGCCTTATTTGGGTTTCCTAGGGTTACCTCATTATGATAAAGTAATAAAAAACTTGTGGCCAAACCAACAGACATTTATTTGTTCATATTTCTAGAAGCCCAAAATCAAGGTATAGGCAGGGCCATACTCCCTCTAAATGCTCTAGGGCAGGGGTCCTCCAACTTTTTAAACAGGGAGCCAGTTCACTGTCCCTCCGACCCTTGGAGGGCCAGACTACAGTTTAAAAAAAACTATGAACAAATTCCTATGGACAATGCACATATCTTATTTTGAAGTAAAAAAACAAACAGGCAAAAACACCTGCACGTGGCCCACGGGCCACAGTTTGAGGACGCCTGCTCTAGGGGATGATTCTTGCCTCTTAGCTCCTAGTGCCTTCATTGTCACATGGCATCCTGCTCCATGCATCCTCTTTTTCAAATGGCACTTCCCTCTTCTTTTAAGGACACCAGTCATTGGATGTAGGGCTCACCCAAGTCCAGTATGAACTCCTCTTAACTTGAATACATTTACAAGACCCTATTTCCAAGTGAGGTCACATTCTGGGAGGACATGCATTTTGGGGGTGTGCTATGCAATGCATTACAAGCCTCTAGGAACAGTTTTTCTGTAGCAGCCCCTTCTTTCCAAAGCACAAAAGTACACCTGGATCTGGGTTCAATCCCCTCTGTGCACTGTGAGCCCACCTCTCCCTCCCGCACCCAGGACCGCGGGCGAGTCTGCCACCGTGGCCTGGTCCTTCCTTTGCTTCAGACTTTTCCATCAAAGACTCACTCTCCTTCTCTGCAGTCAGGCGCCATGGGTACCCTCCATGCCCAAGTCTCCCAAATAAAATTACGTATGAATGGACCTCAATCGAGGAGAGGCTTTAAAGGTACCCAAGGCCCCTGCCAATAGGAGGGCGGGTTGGGTGTCACTCAATGCCAGAAAGCAGTGTCCCCAAATCCCCCCTCCGACCCAGAGGGCCCCTAGAATATATCACCCTTCTGTAGGAATCCATGGACTGGGCCACTGGGTTTGCTCATTCTTTTTTATCATCATGATAAGAGGCTTAACCTGTTACAAACTGCACCAACCCATGGTGAAGGGAGAGCACGGCCTGGTGGAAGAACACACCCTGGCACAGTGGTGAACCATGGCTCCAGCAAGGCCACCTACCAGCCATGTGGTCACAGCCACATCACCCAATTGTTTTCCATTTCTGACATTCAGATCAACAAATGCTAACGCTTCAGTTGGCTTGGGTTCTCCAGCTTATCAAACTCAACACATTGCCACATGCCCTAACAAGTGCCAAGAGAGAAACAAAGTCCCTTCACAGAAGTGAGCACATATTGAAAACCTTACTTTTGAAAGTGTTTGTTAAACATATTTGGTTTGAGATGGCATGAAAGGCAACCCTGGAAGCCTCCTAACAATTGTATAATAGTCTTCTTCCATTTTGAGGCAGGCACAGTGTGGTCAGTAAATAAACCAGACAGTAAGAACCTCAGAACTTCATAGGCAAAGTGAGGTTTACCCCCATCCCCACACAAGGAAAATATTAGAATTATTAACATTATTCAGACTCTGGTTGAGGCCACAGTGGATCTCCCAAAATTTGGACGCAGGAATGCTTTACACATGGAACGTGCTATAAAATACAAACAATGCTTGACAGAGCTCCTCTTACCTCAATTCCTTCTTTGTTTAAGGCGTATTCATCGAAATTCAGAATGGCGATCTTAATCGTCCTCGGAGGGGGCAGCACGGTCAGACCGATATTGATGGCATTGCTCCTCTTGGAGTCCAGAACAATGATCTCTTGCCTTTTTCCGTCTGCTGCAGTTTTCTTGGTGATAAAACAAGGAGAATCCAAGATTAATTGCATCATCTTGGGTCCTTTCTGTGTTTCATTACTAAAAGCACACTCACTACTCATTTAGAGCTGAGAATAAGTGGCCCCAGGTCAGCTCAGAGAAGGACTGGCTGCTGCTCAGCACAGAAGAACGCAAGCGGGGATTTGCTCTGAGAAACTGCCAAGCTTGGGTCAGCCATGGAACTTCAGAGTCAGACACAAAATAAAATGGATTTTCCTTCAATTGGGAAAAATGTGATATTTTGCGAGCACACACACACGAAAAAAACCAAACCGATTTTTTTTTTCCATAGAAGCAGGGAAAACAAAACCAGACCTTTCAGAGTTCCTTTCCTGTGGGCTTCTAGGTGTCAGAATGTGTCTTGCTTGACTTTTGTACACATGGTGTGTGCCTGGACAGAGCTGGTACACGTGCCGAGAAGACAGGACTGACAGGGGGAGGGCGGGGGGACCTGGCATCCCTGTCCTGCCAGCCCTCCCCAGCTCTGGCTGCATTGTCTCAGCGCACCCCACCCCCAGCCATTCAAACGTCCCATGCCCCTCACACCAGGACACCTCCACCTGTCCTGCCACCCTGCGACATCTGTGCAGCTGCCCGCTGGGTGGAGGGAGGGGGCCTTCGCGGAAGAGGCATGAGAGTGTGCACTGGTACAGATGAATAAGGGATGAACAGGCACAGAGGCTGGGGAAGGGGACAGGGGACAAGAGGTGTCCTGGGCCTCACTCATCTCTGCAGCCCCTCTGGCCAGCCCAGGATGAACACATGACTGGGACTCAGTGTGTGCTATGAACTAAAATTTCCTCCCTCCCCCTGAAAAAAAAATTCATATATTAAAGCCCTAACCCCCCAATGTGATGGTATTTGGAGGTGGAGCCTTTGGAGGTACTTAAGTTTAGATGAGGTCACAAGGGCGGGGTTCTTGTGATAGGATTGGTACCATTATAAGAGACCAGAGAGCTAAACTCACTCCCACTGCCATGTGAGGACATACCAAGAAGGTGACTGCCTCAAGCCAAGAAGAGAGCCCTCACCAGGAACCAAACTGGCCTTGATCTTAGACTTCCTAGCCCCTAGAACTGTGAGAAATAAAATTCTGTTATTCCAGCCACTGGTCCATGGTACTTCATTATGGCAGCCCTATCAAACTAAGAGTGTGTGAGGTGCTGAGCCAACCCTTGTCACTACCCAAAGCTGTGACACCACCACCACCAGCTTTCCTCTTCAGTTCTCAGGAAGTTAAGGGCAGGTGGCAATGGGGAGCAGGTGACAATGGGGAGCAGGGGAGAGGAGGCCTGGCTCCACAAGCTCCCTGTTCTTCCCATGAGGCTAACACATCTAGAAGGATGACTACTGTGACTTACGCCATCTAGAGTGACAAAAAAACGAATAAGGCACAGTGGCTCTCCAGAAGAAGAAGACACATCAGCCCAGTGATGGGGTGTGCTCACTGTGCAAGGGCCCCCAACAGTGGGATAACTGCAACTGGTGGTGGAGGGGCCCAGTGTCTGGAAGAGCTGACCCTTGAGCTGGGCCCTAAGGAAGGTCTAGACTCTAGAGGAGATAAGGGGGTAACAAGTGGCTTTGTCTAGGTTGTCGGGACTGCCATGGATGAGGTGGGAGATCTGATAGGGCTACATCCACACGACCTCCTGTCCCAGCTGAGCGCCACTCACCATCGGGTCTCCTGCGCCGGGGCCCCACCCTCTCCTCTGAAGCGGGAAACCTGGCTGGGCTTGGGAGCAGCTGAGGCACCGGAGAAGCTGGCCCACCGCAACACTAGGGATGGGTAGGTGTTGCGGAGAACCAGGCTTAGGGCCAACTTAAATCCTCCTGGGTCCTTCCAAATTTAATTGCTAAAATTCTACTTTAGATTCTTAAATATGCATTTGGAAATAAATTCAAATTTATTTTATGAATAGCAAGCATCCTGGGAAAGCACCCCAGCTGTTTTGGAGCCTGGGGGCCAGGAGGGGCAATTCCTGTGGGTGGGGTCACTGGATTTGAGCAGTGGGCTCCCAGGGACACGTGGCACATGTGTCCCTAAAGATGTATCTCCACTCTGCAGGGAAAGCTTTCTCTTCTATACAGTTAACCAAATAAACTTATCAGGAGCTCCTGGAAATTCTCAATGTTGCTTTTAAATCTAATTTAAAGTATTATGCTGTGTGTGGAATGCTAAGAAGCAATGAGAAAGGTTTGATGAAATGCTGGGTACAGGCAATGAAGGGGGATGTTGCCATGAGCTGGGCGCCTGCTCCTCCAGGCACTGCCGGGCACCGACCCAAAACTCATTCCTTCTTCCCTGCGCACCAACAGCCCCCCCCCCAGATGTATTTTGGCTGGCAATGTGTCAATTAAATCAATTACCTCTCTGGACCCTCTGCAGCTAAAGCTGGCCCTGCGACTTGGTTCTGGCTTTTGTTTTCCTGATTAAGAAGCAATAAGCCCAGGGGGCCATGCCTTAGGCCCTTCTTCTGGGCTGGATTGCAGATGTGAGCCTGGAGCCACAGCAGCCAGCAGCTCCCGAGTGTCAGGGATGAAGCCACTAGGATGGCAGCAGGGATTCCCTGGGAATCATTAGTCCTTAACCCCCATCCACACAGTCTCTGTCACTTGAGGAGCCGGGAAAGGTGGCCAAGCAGGTCCAGCTGGCCCAAATGGAGCCTATGTACAGATGAGAAAAAGAGAATCCCCCTGCCCCCAGCTGCTGAAACATAGCCCCACAGCAAACGGCTTGGGAGACATACACCACTTGGATTTCAGCCCCGCCCCTGGCAGCCAGTGTCCATGTGTAGCAACCCACCTGTACAGACCTGCGTAGTGGCCCTGCGCCTGACACGCCCATTCTCAGTAAGCTCAACTTACACAACGCATACACCCCTGTAAGTCAGGGAGGAGCGAGCCACTGAGCATCCTCAGATCACAGGGAGGGGTGTCCTCACAGAGGATTCTACACATTTGCAGAGTACTTCCACCCTCATTGTGAACGAAAGAGTAAAAATTAAAGTAATAACTGAATTTGAATTATGCAATCTCTGGGTGTTAGCAAAGGGGTGTTTTTAAACTGCTGTTTCTCACAATTAAAATAAATCTCCATATGATGCTACTGAACCCTCGAGTGTCTTCTGGTTAGTTCTGCACAAGACAGGGGAGTGGGGCAGGTGGGGCTGTCCAAACCTCACCTTCCCTCTTGCACCAACCTACAGCAGCACATGTAAGAGCCAGCCCAATCTCCCTGTGCCCAGGACACATGTCTGTGTCTAAGGATTAGCATGCATCAATTCTGACCCATTTCAACTGTTCTTCTGGGCCAAAGGCCCAGATCAGCTGTAGTGAACTTCACTAGGTCCTCCATGAGGTCCTATGACGAGCTGTTATGGTCCACCCTTCTTTCCCAAAGCTTCTCATTCTCGTGCCTCCTTCTCCACTCCCGCCTCCTCCACTGGGCCTGACCACCCAGCATCCAGAGCAGCCCACCCCAGCCTCATGTATCCAGTCTCTTCTCTCTCCAACCCCTCCATCCTACTCTTGCTAGAAGTCTTCCACTGACACTTTTCCTTATTGCGTTTCTCTGATCAGAAAGCCATAGGGATTGCAAATTGTTTGAAATTATAAAATTAGGAAACTGGTCAATGATGGGAAGGGGATACAAAGCAGAGGTCCTTGTGAAGGTTCAAAAAGGCAAATGCTCTGATGGCATCTAGAAGGAGAGGGTGAGATGTGACAGGGCAGAGGTAGGACAGGGGCAAGAAGAGGGGAGGTGGAAACATTTCTAGTGGGAAATCAGAAAGTTGTTCTGCATTTGATAGGGGACCAAGCAGACAGCCCCCCTCCAAATACACAATAAAGCCTGAAACCTCTTGAATTATCTTCCACCTAAAGAAAATGATAACGTTTTCTTGAGAGAAATAAAAGAAGACCTGGATAAATGAGAAACATCATGGTCTTGGATAAGAAGTTTCAATATCATAAGGATGCCAGTTATTTCTCATCTAATAGATCTATTGAAAGTAATCTTATCAAAATTCCAGTAAGATCTGTTTTTGGAATTAGAAAAAAATTCTAAAGTTAATATAAAAAATATACATACAAAAATTAATATTCTTAAAGAGTTATATATAATATCTACCCGATCAACTATAAACTGTATAGCACAGGCACTAGAATAGCTGGCATGAAAGAACAGAATAGAATGATAGCAGCATAGAAAAAGCTTATACCATGGTCCAGGACATTCCAACAGAGACACCAAGATTAGTGACTCAGAATCTAGCATAAAAGATCAATTTCTAATATGGAACCTCCAATCAAGGGCTAATATCCAGAATCCACAAAGAACTCAAACGAATCAGCAAGAAAAAAAAAAAAAACCAAACTACCCCATTAAAAAGTGGGAAAAAGACATGAGAAATTTTTCAAAAGTAGACAAATGGCCAACAAACACATGAAAAATTTTGCTCAATGTCGCTAATCATCAGGCAAGTGCGAATTAAAACCACAATGAGATATCACCTTACCCCTGTTAGAATGGGTTTTATTAAAAAGTCCAAAAACAATAGATGCTAGCATGGATGCAGAGAGGCAGGAACGCTTATACACTGTTGGTGGGACTGCAAATTAGTACAGCCCCTATGGAAAATAGTATGGCAATTTCTCAAAGAACTAAAAGTAGACCTACCATTCGATCCAGCAATTCCACTAACTGGGTACCTAACTCAAAGGAAAATAAGTAATTTTATTAAAAACACATCTCCCCTCGAATGTTTATAGAGCACAATTCACAACTGCAAAGATGTGGAATCAACCCAAGTGCCCATCAATTTGCGAGTGGACTAACAAAATGTGGCATATGTATACCATGAAGTACTACTCAGCCATAAAAAACGATGAATTAATGCCTTTTACAGCAATTTGGATGGAACCGGAGACCATTATCCTAAGTGAAGTATCTCAAGAATGGAAAAACAAACAC